GTCAACCCGGTGCCCCCAGGGGGTTTTGGGGGGCATCGGCCCCCTCCTGGCAGAGTTTTTGGGCACAATGAGGGAGGGGAAAGCGGCCAAACCCCACCCGCCAAGAGACCACAAGGCTGCGCTTAAACAGACAAGTTTCACTCCTAAAAAAAAAAAATTAAAAAACCCCACACTCTTTAAAAAAATACTTTAAAAACCCACAAAAGAAAAGCACACACACCACGCATTCCTCATCCTTTGTTGCTTTCTAAGCCTGGGGGCCGCTGCGCCTTTGCTTCTCTAAACGAGTCTGTGCAAGCTTCTGTCCCGCTTAATTGCTTTGTACAACGCTTAATGGAAAGCAGCGATTCTCACCCAAAAGCTGGCAGCAGGGGATGGCAGGAGGCTTTTTCTTTTTTTTCTTTTTCCCCCTCCTTTTATCCTCTTTTTTTTTTTTTTTTGGTAGTTCATTAGGCTGGAAGCGGGTCAGGCGCTCAGCGCTTTAATTTTCTGGTTTTCCTTTTGGTTAGTAAAAGAACTGGGTAAATGGATGGATGGATGTTCACATTTCTTGCTCTGTGACGGTGGCTGCAGCAATTAAAGCTCTGAGGATACCTCCAGAAGCACCACTTCCAGCGGTATCCGCTGCGTGCAGCCGGTTACTGTTTCCCAAAGCATGGCAGGACCAAGCCCTCACCCCTCCATCTCTCACCAGTACTTCTCACCAGCTCTGAGGTGTCAGAATTCACTGAAAAATACAGCAAAAGTACGTTGTGGTTGCGAAACCACGTGTATTCAGCACACGCGGTTATCTGGCCTTCGCGTGTGCCGCTGCTGTATCTGCTGTCACTGCTGCGTCAAAAGCAGGTCCTGCTAAACTGTGGATTCCCAGTTCTGTGAATTCCGCAGATATTCCCCCCCTTTGGCGTCCCGTCAGGGCCGTGAATCGGGTCAGCTAATCGGAAGGGCCGTCTGCGCCAGAGGATGGACTTTTGCAGAGTCCTTTCCTCCCCGGCGGCCGCCGAAGGATGCTAAGCTGGCTCTTGTGCAATCGCGGAGGCAGCGTGTTTGCGTGGGAGAGAAGGATGAGCTGCTGGAAGGCGATATAAGGCACCGGCGCGGGGAGTGGGAGATCAGCCGGGGCAGCGGTGGGTGGAGGAGCGTAGAGCAGCCTCGCCATGGTAAGTGCGATGGGTGCGAGGCGAGATCTTGATGCTGGTGGGATCTCTGCAGAGAGCGAGGAGCAGAGCAGGGAGTAAACCCTCCTTGGCTGGAGGTCGTCAGTCACAAACGCTCGGGGTCGGGCAGAGGGGGTACGTAAAGCTCTGTCAGACCAGAGAGGGGCTTTTGGCGTTGGCTTTGCCACACTCTTGGTGCAGCTGCACCGAGAGCGCGGCAAAGCCAACGCCAAAAGCCAAAAGTGTTTTTCTGTCACCTCTCTCGGTGCAGCTCCAACCACCGACCCCGGCTGACTCATATCCACATCCCTGATAAGGAGGCTCCAGTGTCCAGGGCTCATCCAGCCCTGGACCATTAATTTCCCTGAAGAAATCCGTTATCTGGACTAATGAGGGCGATTGACCTGTGTCAATCTCTGTGGCTTTGTGGCATTAATTTTAGTTGTGTTCAAGGCTTTGTTTGTTTTGTGGGTTTTTTTAAATCCCATTGTCTCCTTGTTATGGATACGGGTTACTGGAGAAGGAAGGATCCTTTTGCAAATCCTAACTCTTCGAAAGGGTGTAAGTGGGAAGAGGGAAACTCTTTTCCTCTTTGGGGAGCCTGCAGTGCAGCCTCAGCAGTGTGGTTTACTCAAAGTGCTTGTTCTTACTGAAATGTGGCTTTCTGACTGTCAGCACATCCCTGCAGGTCTGAGGGCTGTTTTCTCCCACCCCCCCTTTCTGGAATCGTTTCCTAAATTCATGACATTATCTGACCCTTGTGGTAGCCGGGGGAGGAGGCGTTGCTGCTCTGGCCCTTTGGGATAGGAAATGATTCTGTGCCATTGAACCTAGAGGTATTGGAGAAAATACAGTACAGAAGTTATCGCACCCATGCTTGAGAGACGTCTCTGAATGACTGCAAACCTCTCCAGCGAGGATGCCAAAAACCTGAGTTACCCGGAGCCTGCTTGCTTTTACAGGAAAGGACTGTGAGATGTTTGCTGCTGGTCTCTGCCCTCTGCCTGGCTGGCTGCGAAGGCAACAAGAGTGAGTCTCCCTGTACTCTCTCCCTGCTGGGTCACACATGGGTAATGTCGAAAGGAGAGGCCAAACTCCCACCTGATCAGTGTCCCGGTTCCTCTTTTAGGGCACTGCTGAAGGCTACTAAGGGGGCACAACAGCAGGGTTCACGGGGCGCAGGAGCTGGGGTGGAGGAGCCAGCAAAATAAGCAGAAACCTCAAGCTCTCCATCCCAGCCACGCACGGTATATAACCTGTGAGGATGGGCGGAGGTGCTGTGATGTGCCAGCGCTCTCCTTGCTAGCTGGTGGCAGGCTCCATAGCTCCCATCCAGGCTGCGGCCGTGCTGAGGAGGTCTTCCAGGCTCTTGGTCCCATCCTCCCAAGCAAGCTGAGGGGGCAGGTTCTTCCTCAGATGTTCCCGCTCCGTCTCTCAGCGAGGATCTCAGCCCTTGCAAAACGGGCAAGGCTTCACGCCATGGGGCGAGTTCACTCTCGCGTCTCTCGTAAGGGAGAGATTCTTGTGGCGTTTCAGCTTCTTTGCTTCTCTTTTGCTGCAGGTGAGCTGGTGAGCCCACACAGCCCGAGGCGAGGGGTTGTGCTCCGTCTCAAGAGGAGCCTGGACGCCTGCCTGCCAAACCCCTGCCGGCACCAGGGGGTCTGCCAGGTGACGAGGGGCAGACCACTTTGCAGCTGCAAACCAGGCTTCACCGGGGCGTTCTGCCAAGGTAGGGCCCAGAATGTTAGTGAGCCCTCCCCACGGGCCCCAGAAGGAAGGGCAATGGGCACGAAGCGCTGATGTTACCACTGTTTCCCACTGCCAGCTCCAGGAGCATGCCCTAGCTCCTGGTTCGGGTGTATTCCCCACCGCCACCATGTCCTGGCTACGTGTTGGTTCAAGACCCAGTCACAGGCCATTCCCTTCCTCCTCAAAACTTGATTCCTTGGCTGTCAGGAAGCTGTGCCGTGGTGCAGGCGTGCGAGGGCAGCAGGGCATGCTGAGGAGCACGGGCTGCCTCGCGGTCCCAGAACAGGCACGTGTGCTGCAGCACAGCGGCAGCGAAGCCAAAACTGCATTTTCTTCAGATGAAAGAGACAATCCCCGTCGCTGCCTGTGCCCTTGCCAGACTGCAGCGATTCGGTGGACAGCCCTCCGAAGGGGCCAGTCCCATGACATCTGCCTTTGATGTCCTGAGCTTAGGGACTATCTCTATTCAGAGTAGCGGCAGCCATGGATTTGTGCAGTACTTAGGCAATCAGTACCAAAGGACAGACCCACACGAAGTTCTGCACACTCCCAAAGGTTTATCTTTTGCCCTGAAGAGCTCTACCAGCAGCCTCCACCGGGTCTATTGAGATCAGTGGGACTGGGCTCCTTTAGGCTTCTTCCTTATTGCGACTGCAGATGGCTTTTTCCCCCAGATGTGGTAATGAAGTTGGCCTGTGAGGAAGAGCACATGAAGATGATGGTGAGGAAGGAGGTGTTTGAACTCTTGAAAATCCCCCGGGAGCTTGTCCACTTGAAGAACCAGGCGTGCAAGGTCTCAGAAAGGGAAGAAGAGGGCAAGGTGTTTTTTGCAGCCATTCTCACCGGTGAAAACCACACTGCCTGTGGATCAATAATTGAGGTGAGCATCCAGCAAAGCCTCCGCATAGCTCCAGAGCGGTGAGAGGAGCAGACAGGCTGAGTGGGGACAGCAAGGGGAAGCCCCAGAGGCTTTTTCTTTTACATTCGGGTGCTCAAAGTTCTCGTTCCCCTTGGAAAGCTTCCCTGGGGGCTGTCAGACAGCTCTTCTGCCTCCACCAAACCCTTGCTGACAGCACAGCTTGTCTTGTTCAGCAGAGTGTGGAAGTCTTGGTGAGCTCTTTACTAGCTGATGACAGCCCTTGGCTTTCTGGCAGCATCCTCGGAGCGCTGCAGCCCTGGCTTGGTCCCTCACTTGATTCATGGATCAGGGAGGGTGCAAGGAATGCTCCAGCTCAGCCTCGCACAGAAGGGCCCTCGCCTGTGGTCCCTGTGCTGGCTCCTGCCTACTCCAGGGACGGTTCCCTTGACATGGAGCTTGAGGAAAAAACGCCCAGCACATATCCAGGAGGCCTGGAGCAGCTGCAGCTGAGTTGCACCATCTGAACTGGAGCTTGGGGCTCTGTGTGTGGACTTAGAGACATGGTCTGGAGACTCGATTTCTGTGTCATTCCAGCAAAACAACTCCCATGTGTCGTACTCCAACATCATGAAGTCAGAGCAGGAAGCGCACCAGGGCCTGATCTCCCGGAGTTTTCAGCTGGAGGTGCATTTCTCCTGCATCTACGCCTACGAGCAGGTTGTGAAACTGCCCTTCGCTCTCACTGCTGTTGACAAGTGAGTGGTCCCTTGCTGCTGACATGGTACCTTTGAGCTTGTAGAAAAATAGCTGCCTGCAGCGAGGTGAGCAGCAAGGGGCTGAGGAGCCACTAGAGAGCCCTGAGAGCAATGCCTCCTTTCTCCTATCCTCACTGCTCAAAACCAACTAACAGAAAAATAAAGGGTGGCCTGGTAGCACCAGGCACCTCGTTCTGCTCGTGAGCTCTTCTCTTCTCTCAGGCTGGTGCAGTTCGTCGTCAGAGAAGGACACTTCAACGTCAGCATGAGACTGTACAAGACCCGCTCCTACCTCCAGCCCTATCACCTGCCGACGCCAGCCATCCCCGTCACAGACAAAAAAAAAGGCCAGCACCAGCTCAAGTACTTCCTACTGAGCGTGGGGGACTGCTGGGCCACGCCGAGCGCAGATCCCTACCAGCAGGTGCAGCACAAGCTCATTGAGAATGGGTGAGTAGAGGGACTCGGGGGCATCTGCTCTCATTGCACCAGTCACGTCTCTTTGCTGGGGGTTGAGGACAGGTTGCTGTGAGGGAGCAATAAGCAACGACACCGTCACTGCTCGTAGGTGGAACCTATGGTGGTCACCGTCACTGGGGAGGTGGAACAGCCCCGTAGATGAGCCCCCTAAATGCTCTGAACTGAGCCTCTTCTAAATCCGCCCTGCTGCCTGTAGTGCTGCCTTCCCTCTGGCATCGCTCCTGGCCAGCTGGGGAGGCAAACGACAAGGAGGGCAGATGGAAGACCTGGCTGGGGTGTGCAGAGAGGTGTCTGCTGAAGAGCTTGTGTTAGAGGTGGCTGCAGCCAAGCTAAAGCCAGCCATGTGGATATTTGGGAAGTGGGAGCCACAGCCAGGCTCGCTCCAGCCCTGCAGAGCAGCTGGCAAAACACGAGGCAGCTCCTGCGCTGGTGGCAGCTCTTCCCTGAGCCAAGCCCAAAGCAGGGTTCCCAGGAAAGGCATCCCCACCAGCACCGGGACAGGAATAGTCCTGTTCAGCAAAGACTGGGGGCTGCACCCGCTCCCTGTGTGCTCTGGTGTGCCAGGCTGGGATGTTCACCCTTGTTTGCCACCTGCTGACTCAGCCGTTGTGTCCCAGGTGTCCCCACGACAACACGGTGACGTACCTGAATGCCATTGGAGAGAGCACCGTGGCCAAGTTCAGCTTCCAGATGTTTCAGTTTGTCGGTTACCCCGAGGTGTTCCTGCACTGCCGCGTCCGGCTCTGTCTCCCCGATGGCCCGGAGCCCTGTGCCAAGGTGAGCTCTCCCGGTGCTCTGCACCGTGCCCTGGCCAGGGGGGTGGACGCGCCTTCCCTCGGCCTGCTGTTTGGGGAAGGGGTGCCTCAGCACAACAAATGCGCTCACCCCAGCACCCTGCCTCAAAGGTACAAGGGCTCGAACCCACCAGAGAGCTCCTTACCCTCTTCCTATTGCGTATTTGCAGGGGCAGAGATTTCTGCCAGGGCTTGGAGAGGAGTGGGCTAAGGTCCTTCAGGAGTCAGCTCCTCTCACCCTCCCAGGTCTTGACGGGTCCCAGGCTGCAGCCCCAGCAGTGCCTCTGCCAGGGAGAGACCACCAGGACGGTTTCTCCTCCCCCAGAGCGGGCTTCTCCCCTTCCCTCTGCTCCCATCACCCTTCCCTTGGCTTTGTTGACAGCAATGCCCCAGGAACTGGAGGAGCAAGCGGGCGCTGGCCGATGACGACAATAAGATTGTCTCCTACGGGCCCATCCACCTGATGGGCACTCCTCCCCCGGAGGCAGAGATGCGCCGTTCCAGGACTGAGCAGCAGGACCCGAGGGGTACGTATGTCCCTCCGGGGAGGGCAGGGGCAGCTCACCGACCCTTGCAACTGTCTGGGTGAAGCCAAGGGCTGCTAAAATCACTGCCCTGCACAGAAGCGTGGAACCCTTCAGGTGTCACGGCCCACCCACAGCATAGCTCAGCCCAGACATGAATGCTGAGCTAAACAGAGCCCCTGGGTGTGGGTGCAGGCCCCAGGAGAGGCCAGTTGGGGTGAATGAGTCCTGTTATTGCCCTCAGGACCCCAAAGTACCCCCAGCTCCAGCACCTCTTACCCTTCGCAGGAGATGACCTCCCAAGAATCTGCCCCCAGCAAGGGGATGCTGTGCCGGGGCTCAGCGCTGGCTCGAGGGGACCCAGATGTGTAACCAACCTTTCTTCTCTTTGGCAGGACCCAACCTGTGGCTCCCCGGGGCCCTCATCGTGCTGTTTGTGCTTGGTGTGGCCGCTGCAGCCGTTGCTGCAAGGCGGCGAGCGGCGTAGAAAACATTTGTTCCCGAATAAACGTGACAGCAGCAGAGAGGGTCTTGCCTGTGTCTTTACAGGGGTTTTTTGGGGGAAGGAGGTGATGGCTGGATGCAAATGGTGCTTGAAGGACGAGTTGCATCACGGTGTTTCTGTTCCCTGTAGCATCCCTAGGACCTTCTCATCCCCTCCTGGCCCTTGAGATTTGAAACATGTACCCAGGGTTGGGAGGTTCTTTCCTCCTGCTTTCCTCCTCCCCAGAGAGTCACCCAGGCACGTGGGGAGATGCAGGTACCCACACTCGCCCCCCTGCAGCTGGACTTCGCGTGGGTCTGTGGGATACAGAAGCAGCATCAGCGAGGAACGGGCTCCGCAGTGCGTGCACATGCTCGTCTGCACACATGCAGATCCCTTCCTTCCTTCCTTCCTTCCTTCCTTCCTTCCTTCCTTCCTTCCTTCCTTCCTTCCTTCCTTCCTTTCCTTCCTTTCCTTCCTTTTCCTTCCTTCCTTCCTTCCTTTCCTTCCTTTCCTTCCTTTCCTTCCTTTCCTTCCCTCCTTCCCTCCCTTCTCCTTTCATTCATGACAAACTGGCGGCAGGACTTTTTGCCCATCAGTACATCCCTAACATAAAGCAAATAACCAACACCACAAGCATCAAAGACTAAACCCACAGCGCTCAGGGAGCTGGCAGAGATTTAATACTGAAACACCGGTAAGGAGAAGACGAGAGTTGTCCCTGCGAGGTGGCTGAAGCCCGGTGGCTTTCCTCACGGGAAGCATTGCTGGCCCCAGAGGGTGTTTAGACAGAAGGGATATCTCCAGAGCTCCTTGGCCAAGGCAGGTCACCAGGAACGAAAGGGATGAAGCAAAGAGCCCTCCTGAGATCAGTCATGCTCACTGGAGGGTAAACTGAGGCACGGTAAATTGAGCCCTCGTCCTCCGTGGGGGAGCTGCGTCTGTCGGGATGGAAGCTCGCTCTCAGCGGGTGCGTGCCTGGGCAGGGATGGAGGTCTCGCCAGCAGCTACTCCTGGGAGGCTGCGGTGGTTTTGTCGTGTCTGATGGTGTGAGAGAGGGAGCCAGCGGTGTCCTTCGTCTTTGGGTAGTAGAGGACAACCAGCCACATGAATATGAAGATTCCTGCAGGGGAAGGAAGGCAGACACTCAGCAGTGGAAACATCCTGCCGGGACGCTGCTGGCACTTCCCTGCCGCTCCCATGGAAAAACCTGCTCCCCCCGGGAGGGTGTCCCCATGCTTCAGGTGAGACATTTGGCTGGGACATGCCTTGGGTGGAAAATGTCCTTGTTCCTCCGCTAAGGAATGGCTTCCTTGGAGCAAAACCACCCGCTGTGGAATGGATGTGGCTGGGAGCTGTCACCA